AAGGCACCAGGCAAGAGCTGATCGATGACTTCAGATTTGAGAGTTGTAGTGGCCTTTTGACTTCAGTGACTTTGGGTATTGAGTAGTAAGGAGCAATTATTAATGGAGCCAGGCACATGGAATGCAATTTTTGCTTCCATGAGTAAAGGAAGCCTTGCACTTCCAGAGAGCCTCTTAGCCCACTGCAGGCATTGCTGCCCTCCTGCCCCTCCTGGACTCTTTCCAGGGTGATGCACCAAAGCTAYTCAGACTGATTTTTCGAATCAGCATTTTCCAGCCCTTGAGTTTTGGTGACATGTCAGCTAAGGGAAATACTCCCCTCTCTGCCCCTGTCTGGTTATTCCTGCTCTGTACCTCAGCACTGGGGTTTCAAGTCTCATCACCTCTCAGGGATAATCACTGTAGTGYGGGAAACATTACCCTGACAGTGCCTCCAAAGCCAGGCTGCCTGCAGATCACAGCCTGCCTCCGTCCTTGAGCTCCAACTTGACTCTTCCAGGACAATCCTTGCCTTTAGGCATCTCTGCCCCATAGACACTCACCTCTCAGTTTCAGGTGAAGATGCACCTTAGTTATTAGTTGCTGCTGGTTAGTGCTGGTTAGCTGCTGCTGATGTTTCAATACCTGTTTCCTTTAAAGAGGTTCATGATGTAAACTGAAGCAGTGAAACCCTCCAGCTTCACTGGTCATGCTCACAAAAGATATGGCTCATTCTTTCCTTACAGTAAAAACTTTATTTATCCCTTGCTTGCAATGATGGATACTCCTTATTACTTAATACAATGCCTGCTGCCAAGAATGAGGACTTTAATTATGAAAGTAGTAGAAAAGCCTCTTCCTCCCCTGCAAAGTACATAGTTCATGGATGTGGACAGAAAGAGGCTGAATCATCATGCCTCTGTGCTTAGGATGTTTAAAGCCACAATGGTAAAAAGGAGCCCTAAAATGACTTTTAACAATGACAGGCAGAGATCTTCTTAGATATTTAGATGAGGTTCCTCCTAAATGTAGATGCAGTCAGGAATTGTGAGAGAGAGCAGAGAAAAGTGCTGCAGTGGACTGCAGCCTATAGGATGTGTGAAGAAAAATGTAGGTAGTACAGAAATGGCCTTTAAAAGTCTTCATAGCCTACTCTTATACCACAGAAGGTGAGAATCCCTATAATTTCCACTACASTGTTGAAGAAAACTGAAAAAGTAGGGCTGACATGTCACAGCACAAGGTTAGAACTACAAGCTCATTTGACTTCATTTGTGTTTTTAGCAATGGTTCATATCACAAATGTAAGAGACAAGAATTACCTGCCCTTAAGCTTCTTAAGAGCCATGATTTGGCCCTGGTCTCTTTTCAGATTCAAACAATTTTTCTGCATCACTTCAATTGTGTCTGCATCAATCAGMGATGTGAGGATTTTCTTTGGCCAGRGTTACCTTTACAGGGCCTGAGTCCTTTCAGCAAACTTATTAACAGTATGTGGTAAGTACCCTGCATGTATTTTAAACAAATGAAATAGTTTACAAGTTTGTGAAAGTAAAATGCAAGACGGTAAAATTGATAGCTTAAAATCAATCTAAAAAACAGCCAAGCAAATGCATACATTCTCATAACATTTTATGACTCCAGTGAGACAGTAAGGTCACCAAAATGCAAGAGGATAAAACATAGGCAGTTGGCATCTTTATTCTCCAAAGTGCAGGTGCCAGTAATTACTTTTGTCTCAAAACTTAAATATGGAAAATAGTAAAATTGTATGTCACATAAGRAGGAATAAAATGTGTTTTAATAAAGCACATTTTTCTACTTAGAAAAGGTCAAACATGTGTTCCCATTTTCTGCTGAAGCACTACTGTGGTGCTGTGCCTCTGCCCATGCTGCATACACATAAAAAACTTGTCAAATATAAAGGCCCACCCTCYCAGTATTTTTTAAAGTGCACAGGAGATAAAATTTGTAGCCTGGCAATAAAAACAGCTAATAATAAAAGATACTTTCATCCARAAGATTCTATGTCCTTTGGGACTATTTGGCCTTCCTGCAAATCATTTTACATTCCATGAAGCCGATACACTTGTGAATTCCACCATCCTCCTCAGCACACCCCTAGTCTAATGCAAACTTTTCTTTTCTGTGCCTGAGCATTTTCCAGGAAACTTTTCTGGAGTCACAGAGTAATAGATGTTTATTACTAGCCCAATATTAATGAAAAGCCACTGTGCCCTGATTTAATGTCTGGTCAACGTTATACTGCTGTAATAGGGGCACTCATGACCCAGAGGGACAGAGGACATATACATGCATGTTCTGCCACCTGAGCTGGGAACGAGATTAGATTGTGATGGGCTACCAACGTGGCCACAGGCAATGAGTGCCAGAAATGCTCAGTGGCAGGATCTAAAACTGTGCASAGTTCTGCTTTTCACTCCAAAAAGTGCATGTTGTAGTTCTGGATTTACTGGATTAAGGTTTTTTGGAAACAAGATTGTACTCATGGGGGAATAACAAACTGACCCTGCATGTTCAGAATTGGGCACAGGAGTACTTCCACCTTTCATACTTGTACGATTCAGTAGAATCTGGCATCAGGATGACAGTTTCAAGCYCTTTAGGTACAGAATTTTCAGCTTAGGCTTCTTTCCCATGAGCATACAGTGACACTGGAGTTTGTCTGATTTGAATATTTTAATTAAGTTGGAAGCATGACACCAGTCAGACTAAAAGAGAAAAACAGAACCWAATATTTAATGCTTGACCATACAGGATGGCACATGCCAACTTTAGCCCAAGTTGAGAACTCCCAGCCAAGACCTTTCAGAGTCCAGCTGAAGCCAGAGCTCCTACACAGTGCTGAGGGCCTCAGAGGTTTATTGAGAGACACACAGTTCATGGGGAGGTCAACAACAGTAAAAATCATTCTATTGCAAAGGCAGAAAATACCAGTCAGAATGAGCAAAAGTCAAGCACTTTCATTGTTTAAACAGAAGCAGTACAAGGCTGGCATCTTTTTAAAAAAGTGGGGGGTAGCTCTTGTGGTTCTCTTCCTACAGGTTTCACTTCCTTAGGGTGTGTGGTTATTTCRGGTTAGCCCAGCAACTGCCAGAAGAGAAAGCATTTAATTTTCTTGGTTTTTATATTGAAGAACAGGCAAGACAACCATGTACTGGAACAAGAGGAGGGATTACAAAAGCCTGCCCTGAACAGAGAGACTGCGTGGAGATATTCCTACAGTGCAAAGGTTCACAGTAATTCTCCTGTGAAGCCACATTGAACTCTCTGAACAGCTAATATGTGGTGCTTGGGACATGGTTAACCAGACAATGATGTGGAAACTGTTTTTGTGGTGATCCAAGGTGAAGCATGTGTGCSTCTGCCACATGCTTTGCTCTGTGCAGGAATACACATCTCTTTATGGGAATTGAGTGCCTGCAGGTTGTTTGCTTTGTCTGSTTTTGTATCACAGCTGTGGGCCCGGCACTGTTCTCTCTGAAGTCGATTTGGTAGGACTAGRATCTGCTCTGTCATCTTGAGTATCGCCCACCTGTTTTCAAAACCACAGATTTCTCTAAAGAAATGCCTGCAGGTGCTGTAGAGCAAGGCTGCARCAAACAGGCACATGCCTTTCTGTTTGGAGAGATGGGGCTTGGTTGTTTGCATCCTTTATATATGACWGTGCTTCAGAGAGAATTAAACTCAGTTTTGTTATGTAGAGGCAAAATAGAGAAAATAAACAATTGGGACATCATTGCATTTGATTGAGTTGTTTTAACATAGAGGTGAGTGGCACCTAAATGATGTAGACAGCTATTTGCAATGTTATCAATTGAAAGAGTATGATTTAGTTATTTAATGATGCATCTTACAGGAAACTATTAAGTATCTTTCACCTTTGTGCCACCTCACCATGTTTATTTGTGCTAGCCCAAGCTGATTCAGCTGTGACACTCTCCAAGCACTGCTTTTTGGCTGATACTTGCCACAGTGGTCTTGCCTGTGGGCAAGATTGATTTTTCTGCGAGGTTAAACAGCACCTGCATTGTTACCATGTAAATTCCTGGCCTCCTGAGCCACAGATGTCACTCTGGCAAAAAAACAGCTTAAATTTTATAATACGTAGTGTGAGCGTGACAACCTCCGACCTTCCTWAACTAATACAAAGGAAGAGTCTCCCCTGCCCCGGGCCGTGGCTTGACCCGGAGAAATCACTCACCACCTCCCCTGGCCCTGCCGATCCCCTCTGTCTCAGAAAGCCCGGAGGCCACTACCTTCCAGCAAAACCCCGTCCTGGATGAGGCATCCTACATCCCTGCGCTCTCAGTTGCTTCACCWTCAGTGTGTGTATCTTAACCCCGCAGCCTCAAGGCATTTGCAGRCATCCAGGCTCTCCCACTCAGTTCCTTGCTCCGGTTTTGCCGGATGCCTGCTGCCGACTGCTGCGGCCCCCGCCAGCTCTCCCCGTGCCCTGCTCTCTGGGCGTTCGGACAGTGCATGGCATGGGGAGGGAAGGAGGGACTGTGTTAGCAGCACAGATCTCCCCATCTCCCTCCCGTATTTGATACTGCTGGAGGCTCCTTCAAGRGTGCCGTCCCGCCAGATCATAATTAAAAGGCCCAAGGAGTCCCAGGCACCAGCTGTGTACTCCCTTCCTCCTGTTTTTCCTCTCTGTACTGGTCCCCCTCCCTGCCCGAGCTGCAGGCTCGGTTGCCGGGGGCTCCACTGAGGTTTCCCAGGGCACAGCGGGGACGCTGGTCCACCCTGTGCGCTGCTGGCGGCTGACAGCCTGGCAGTCTCCCTCTTCCTCCTTCGGCTGGCCGGGACGGAGGCTTTATAAAAAAAAAAAAAAAAAAAAAAAAAAAAAAAAAAAAAAAAAAAGGAAAAAAAACCTTCTGGGGTCACTGGGAGGGGAAAAAAAATCTTCGTCATGTCTGCGGTGTCTACGACAACGTCCCGAGAAGGAAGAGGAAGATCCCGCCCCGCGGGGACCGCAGGGCTCGGCACAGGGGGTGTGCGCTGGCTGCGGAGCCGGGGGGGTCCCCCCGCCTTGGACGGGAGGGGCTCTGCCTTCCTGCGGAGCCGAGGAAGAAGGGGCCGAGTCACTCCGCTCCCCGCCCCGGAGCGGGTGGGAGCTGTCCTGCTCGGGGCCGGGGTTCGGCGGGGCAGAGTGGCCGGTCCGTCCCCGCGGTCTGTGAGGCACTAGCGAGCCTCCCTCCAGCGCCGGGAGGTGACAGCCCCGGCGGGCAGGGCCGGACAGGGCTGGGGGGGTGTGCGGCGGGTGGCACCCCCCTTCTCTCKTCTTCCTCCTCCTCCTCTTCTTCCTCCTCCTCCTCTTAAGTTGGCCACGGCGGCGCGGGGCGGTGCGCTTCGCCCTGCGCCGGCGGCGGGGGATGTGCGGGCGGCGGCGGGATGGCTTCGGCCGTGTTTGAGGGCACCTCGCTGGTGAACATGTACGTGCGGGGCTGCTGGGTGAACGGCATCCGGCGGCTCATCATCAGCCGGCGGGGCGACGAGGAGGAGTTCTACGAGATCCGCACCGAGTGGTCGGACCGCAACATCCTCTACCTGCACCGCAGCTACTCCGACCTCGGCCGCCTCTTCAAGCGGCTCCTCGACTCTTTCCCCGAGGACCGGCCCGAGCTGTCCCGCTCCCCGTTGCTCCAAGGTTTGAACAGCCTCCGTGGGCCTGGCTCTCGCTGCTGGGCGGGCGGGCGGGTTTCGGTCGCCTCCACTTCCCCGGGGTGGCGGTGACCGGGGAGGACGGGCGGGCGAGCGGTCCCTCTCGGCGGAGGGAAGAGGGGCGAGGAGCTGGAGCCGCTGAGAACCGGACGGGGCGGGGGTGGGGGCAGAAAAACTGCGGGGGCGTTTTGCGGTCGGAAACTCCTCCCGGGATGTTGATTTGTGTTTATTTTTTTCTTTTCTTTTTATTTTTTTTCTCTTTTTTTCGCCTGTTTTTCTGGGGTTTTTTGGGGGGTTGTTGGGGTTTTTTTTGACTGTAGGGTTGGAGCCAGGGCTCCCGCAGAAAGGAGTACCTCAGTATTACTGCTGCTGTTTCCAGCTGCGCGGGTCGGGGCTGGGCTGGGCTGCGGGAGCAGAAGGGTCCTCGTTAGCGCTGCCCCTCTCCGGTGCCTCCGGGCTCCCCGAGGAGAGGCGGGGGGGTGGTTGGCAGGAAAAGGGGTGTAGCTGAAAAATCTCCGCGTATGTTGTTTGCCACAAGGAGAGGGCAAAAAAAAAAAGAGCTGCGGCGCTTGCCAGGGGACGGAACAACTCTGGGAGCTGGCATAATTCCTCGCATAACTTCTGTAAAACGGGAATTGCACCAGCAGTTAGAGATGTCTGTTCTGAACTGGATTAACCAAAGTCCAGAGATGTAGCCCATGCTCAGGCCTTGCTGTKCAGAAGCGGCATGTACCCAAGCTGTCTTAGTGCTGGGTTTTGATTTGTTTAATGTTTGGAGTACCTGTTCTACTCTGACATATTTCAGATGTGTAGWGTGGTGAGGAGCATCCAGTCATCTGAAAATGTATATGTACCTAGCACTTTCAGTGTCCCCACTTGTTTCAGTTACCACATAAATAATTTGATTGAAGAGAAACGGGGAAAAGCCGATTTTCTGCGCATGTTTTTCTCTGTGAAAGGTTGGGGAAGTCCCCAGCTCTCACTTCGCTTCTCACCTTGTTGTGCAAGTGTGACCCGCTTGCAGAGGGTCTGCGTTTTGTCATTCTCGGGGCTAAGGCTTCCCTTTCCCTATCGGTGTAAACCCACCGGACTTCATTCCTGGGCCCTCCCTGTGCGACAGCGGGCTCCTTTCTCTGCGGGTGGGGATTGTCTCTGCCGGGCTGTCTCCCCAAGGATGTTTTCTGGCGAGTGTTTAAAGTGAGACAGGTCGTTTTCCATTGTCCTGCCAGATCCTTAGTCTCTGGTGGTGGGCTAGGTTTGGGGTTTTTATGTGCCCCACATGAAAACGCTCGTACCTTTCCCTCTCCCCAGCTTCYTTGGGTGGCGGGAGCCGCAGCCCGCACCCCAGCGTGTGTTCCCCGGAGCTGGGCTTTCCCGTTCCCGCTGCCGGGAGGCGGYGGCTCGGTCCCGCCGGCCCCGGGAGCTCCGCAGCCACTCGCAGGCCCCGAGTGCCCTCTGCAGACGGCGGGGATGGGCGCAGGGCAGCCGGAGTGGCAGCAGCCCCTCAGCACTCTCGCTCCGRGTGCGGGCTGGGAGATGCTTGCAGKRCTGGGAATGGCTGCAGGCTGGGAATGGGGGAATCCTCCAGCTCTTGCTGCGGGTGCCAGACCCCCTTCTCAGCCCTGGTGCTGCCCGGCATACAGCGCCTCAAGCATTTCGGTTGCTGACCGAGGATCTGAAGTGCTGCAAAAGCTTGTTACCCGTGGCGTGTGTCCTGCCCAAAGAACTGCGGGTGTGATTTTCAGTAGTGCTGAGTGGCWGTAAATTCTAAGTAGCATGGCCTTCAAGTGTACGTGGCACCTGCGCCTCAGGTTTTGAGCATGCTGCGTAGGTTTGGAACGAGCCTGCCTGTGGCTTTCGGGGCACAGCACCTGCCGGAGTCTCTGTGACTAAAAATTGACATCCCAGGGTGGCAGTAGTCCTTCTTGTTGACTTTATGGGGCTCTGAAGAGTAGCTTGGCAGCTGTGCTAGGGTGTGTGCTGTGTCTGGCTGCAAACGGACTCGATCCTTGGCCTCCTGCCCCTCCCAGGGCTCCCTCTGCTTTGGTTACGCACWGGTTACTCACTGCTTATCCTAAAGCCCTTCTCATTCCTCGAGTGAGCATGGTTTCTCTCCTGTCTCAAGGCCTGCCACAGCTTTTGCAAAGTATTAAACTCTTTTCACATCTCTCTAAGGCATTATTTGCACGGTTTGAGCCAGATGGGATTATATTCCCTTGCACGGGCTTTACTTGACAGTCCCAGGTAGATACACCATCAGTGCATGAACAACTGGGAAAGATTAACCATCCTCAGCCTGTGTTGCTCAATCCCTGCCTAAGACTTAGAGCCAGCAACCTTGACTTACCTTTATCTCAGGAACCGGCGCACTGACTTTGGTGGAATTGGGAATGAGCAAAGCATCAGTCCGGGATTTGAAAAATCGAAACCTAATATAAGCAGATTTTGATCTGTTCAGCTTGTTGAGGGGGTGGGGGTTAACTCTGCAACAGAGACAGAATAAAAATCAGGAGTAGTTTCTAAGCAATTACAGCGTGCGTCACAATTTCAGCAATACTCAGTTTAAAATTATGCTGCTCCTGCTCTAAAGAAAATTACWTTGCAGAGTGTGCTTCTCTGCCGAGAGAGCACTTCATCACACCAACATTTTAAATTGGCTGGCCACAGCCTCTGATAACTTGACAAAGTTGAAAGAAAAATCCCATTTAACTAAGTGACGCTGATGCAAAGCTTTGTGTGTAAGAAGAGATTGCATGGGACATGGCCAATCTTTATAAAATTCATGGGGTGAGCAGGGTTTCTTAATGTCCTGTTTAAAAGCAGATGTGCTGCTTGTTACTGTGAAGCTCAATAAACTTAACAGAAACACCTGACAAAAGCACATTATTCTGTGTGCTAGCATTTGGTCATATACATTTTTAGATATTTTTATATATAAGTATATATACAGACATATATGCATATGTATGTGAGTTCATATATGTGTRTTTATCTCAGGCTTTCTGAAAGAAGGTAACTATTAGCTGTGCCTTTTATCTGGAGGAAGTGATAGAGCATTACAAACCAAATTTGCATTGCATTGAAGGACTCCAAAGTCCCTACAGATTTGCCTAAGGAGCATTAAAAGGACTGGCATTATCCTACAGCTCAGTCAAGCTGCAGTGTGTTACATTTAAGGGATATGGTTGAGAGTGGAAGCTTGAGCTATTTGATGTTATTAACTTTTTAAACCAAGGTTTGGGTTATTTTAAAAACGTCAGCAATTTTAGCAAGAGTTAGTTGTTACCTTTATTGCTGCCCTCAGCAGACAGCCCATGCTAAGCAGGAGTGTGCTCCTTCTCTTGCTCAGCACAAGGAAACCATCCTCTCCATTCCTTTCCTGACCCCTCATCCTGCCGGACTGACTTCCACAATGCTCTCCCCTTCCTCATTTGTTGGAGCTGCTGAGTGCTTTGAKATTGCAGGGGAGAGGATGGGAGGTGTAGCTGCCTGCAGCAGTTGTTCATCTTATCCTTCCTTTGATATGAGAGGAGGGGATATCCCCACAGTCTGATCCTGTCTTTGATGACGAGTAAGAACATGGGCAAAGTGCACTCTCTGCATCTGGAGTGTACCATGATGCTGAAGGCCAAGGATGTTCAGAAACACAGGCATCTCCCTAGGAAGCTGGTAAACAAGGTTAGRTATGTGCATACCTGCAGAATGACTAAGTATGATTCACTGTGATGTTACCAGCAGCTTGACAGTATTTTGTCTTTGAAATGTGCCGGTCCCTTGCTCAAGGCAAATGTACAAAAGAGGATCACAGGAAAACACGGCTCCTTCACTCCTGCAGTGAATACAGCCTAATGTTACTAAACTGTCTGTTTCTCTATGCAAAGTCTTCTTTTGRATTTAAATCAGTTTTTATGAGAAAGGCAGAGCCATGGACTTAGAAGTGAGATTAAGAAATAGTTGCAATAGACCAAACAGGCACCAAAAGTGAGGTATAAATCTGGAAAATTGCTCTTTTTTTTTTCTCACTCCCCCTCCCTTCGCAATTTTCTCTGAATGCTACTTGGATGAGGAGGTCTCATCTGAGATTTATCCTAGAACTTGATCCAGCTTTAATGCAGTCAGCAGTCACACACCTCCCTCACCTCTGACTTCAGTGTGGGCAGAATCAAACCCTTAAAGAAGCATTTCAAAGCCTTTTAGCAGCCTTTCTAAGCTGGGGTTTGTTTTGCCCTTGGAGCAACAGGATGTTTTCTGACAATCCTCCTCTGCRCTTGTTTTTGCCTTTTTTATCAAAAAAGGCTCAGATGCTCTTCAAATGTCACTGTTAGTATTGCACCTATGTGTAGTGCCTGGTCCTGCTCTCATATCCTGAGCTGCAAAATTGGAAACTCTGACAGATTATTTTTGTTACTAGATGGGCCCCTCTTCCCAAAGTTCTCATTTTCCTCCTTTCCACGCCTCCTCTGACTCATTCTGCTTTATCATGGCCTTTTTTCTCCTTGCTCTCCTTTCTGTTATTTCCTCTCTGCTTCTCCAAGTTTTGTCTAAGCTGCTTTCTGTTCCCTTTCTTTGCCTGCAGGTTTCCCTCACCAGTATGCAGCCTCCCATGGTTATTTTATGGCTTTCCAGAGCTTCTCTGTTCCCTTCTACCTTGCCAGTGGTTCAACCTCTGTCCACTTGTAGTTTTCCAGCAGTGGTGGATTCCCTATAGAAACTTTGCTCCTTTAGTTTGACCATAACTGAGGTGGAGGCAGTCACTTCACCTGCAGGAGACCTGAGCAGTCCCTCACAGAGGAGCAGTGCTGAGCTCCAGCTCTGAGCCCTGTGCTGCCTCTGGGGTGGCTACCTGCTGCAGAAAGGAGGGGACAGCTGTTTGCCAYGTCCCAGTGGCTGTCCATGGGAAGGTCCTCCAGGGCTGCCATCGGAAGGATGTGCACAAGGCAGAAGGYTGTTCCCGAAGAGCTAGCTCAGGAACTTTGTTTGCTTGCA